CAAGCATTTCTATTCCAAGCTTTCAATTAAAAGAATTGGTCTAACTTTAGAATGGTCAACGTAGATACAAATGTCTTGTCTTATGAAGGATAAATCAAATTTCAAAGAACAAATTGAAGTCATTCATTTGAAAATTTTACAAAAGCCATCACGAGTTGGTTATATGGCGATTGATATGTTCCTAATGCCGTAGCGATAACTTTACCTCTCAGGTGACATCACCGAATGGGACTTATCACCGAATTGTTATCAACATGAACAATACGACAGGTGCCATGTGAAGTGCAAGATCTGCCTATTCTTCTGAAGCATAAACCACCACCCATGGTTTTTAGGTGGGGTTCCTTATAAGTTTTCATAGATAATCCGTAACTGTAAACAAAAGGATTATTAAAAGTCAATATATACTAGTAAAAAGTAGAATAACATAAATACCGAACACCAAGGAAAACCCAAAACCGAAAGTCTCTTATCAAATGGAAAAATCAAAAGCTCAAACTCATCAAACAGGCATTCCATAAGAAGAAATTGTGGATTAAACACGGTTTTGATGTTTGATGTGTTTGGACTATAGTTTTGCCATTTGATTAGAGACTTTCCTATTTGAATTTTCCTTGGACTTTATCATTTTTGGTGATTTTACTTTTTTCATAACTATCTAAAAAAGTTGCATATGACTTTATTTTATTTAGAACATTATACCATAGGGATGATTATCGGTGCAGCTTTATGGGCATTAGCAATACCAGTACTTAATTTATCAGTCAATACCATGTAGTGCAGATCTGGGGATCGAAAAGTTGGTTATGGAAAATTTTGAGAAGTAAGCATATTAAGTGTATTCTTTTAGATACATTTGATTTTACCTTTTTTTTTCTTTCTGAAGAATTCTCACACAAAAAAATGTAGATACAATTCATATTGTGAACTGTATCTAGTTAATTGACATTAACTCTGAGACAAAAGAGACACTTTCAATTGTTCTGTTTTGTTTTTTACCTTCATTTCAGTGTTCCAGCTGGGCTTTTATATTAATTGAGTATGTACCTATTAGCTTATATACTATAAAAGGCTTTCATATACCGGCAGAATCTTAAAACAGGAGTACTGATGACAAAAAGCCGTTGCATCAAAAGTTACAAGTAGTAATTTGAAGTAATTCATTCAATAGTTTTACGGGTGCCGTTATGATCGAATCGACCGTTAATTGATATATGTATCATATATAACAATAGATTTGTTCCAATTGTACTGACAACAGTTCTGTTGTCCTTTTCTCGATGTTGTAGTTGTTTTGAGTAACACAATTGGTGCCACAACTCTTCAAGTGCACTTGGATTGATCCCTGTTTTTGTAGGATTCGTGTTGCTCAATTTCTGTAAAGTGGTTGGTTATCATGGTTATTGTTCGTTGTTATTTATTGTCAGTAACTTTGTCGTGGTGTTGTCCTTTTGTCTTTGACTTGATCGCTTTTTTGCCTGCCTAATATCCAAGGTTGAAACCACGAAAGCAGTTTAAGAATATTACTTTGTTGTTACAAAAATGATTTTAGTTACGATAGACTGCAAAAATAAAATAAAAGAGGAAGAAGAGTCATAGTTATTAAATAAATATACCTTGCTTATCTCTACTAATTTCATTGTGTAATACTTTTTCTAAGGGCCATTAGAACTTGATATATTTTGTAATAGAAATTTTCGTTTTAGAAAAAGTAATAATTATGACACTTTTTTCATAGTACCAGGTGGATTAAAAAGTAAGATTACTTGAAAACTACCGTTCTCGTTTATTTGTTTTCTTGTGTTTTTGTTGTTGTTGGTTCGTTGTTAGACATGTTACATGTAAGTAATATTTTCTTGTCTTGTTTTGAATTGTATATTTGTAGGAGAAAATACATTTGACTATTGAATCTGGAAAACCATCTGCGAAATTACAAATGTATATGAAGCAGGGCAAAAATATCCACTGATCTCCAATCCTGTGTATTCCTAAAAGACAACAATGATTGCATCTGTAGTTTTGCCTTGTTATAAAAATAGCGTTACCATATTCATAATATTGATTGTAAAACTATTTTAGATTACAATATTTTAACCTTATTTAATATAGAGTGAATGAAGTTCTGTACATCTGAAACCAAGTTTTTAGTAAGCAGGATTGCAACGAAATTTTCTTTGTTAAATGGTTGGCTTTGCAGTACATGAATGTATATGTATATCATTCATCTAGAATAAATGATTTTAATATAGAGTTTCTGTAAATTATTCTTCCAATTATTCTATATGGTAGTACATGATTTGTTGTTGTAAATGAAAAAAAAAATATCAATGTTGTTCCTTTCATTGTATTGCAATACATTTATGAAAATTCATATAATAGTTATCAAAGGTACCAGGCTTATAATTTAATACGCCAGAAGCGCGTTTCGTCTACATAAGACCCACCAGTGAAGCTCAGATCAAAATAGTTATAAAGCAAAAGGAGTACAAAGTTGAAAAGCATGGAGGACCCAAAATTCCAAAAAGGAAACCCTTAGTTTTTCCAAAAATCATAATTTTGTAAACAGGAAATTTATAAAAATGACCATATAATTGACATTCATGTCAACACCGAAGTGCTGACTACTAGGCTAGCGATACCCTCGTGGACGAAACGTCCACCAGCAGTGGCATCGACCCAGTGGTGTAAATAGTTATCAAAGGTACCAAGCTTATAATTTAATACGCCAGACGCGCGTTTCGTCTACATAAGACTCATCAGTGACGCTCAGATCAAAATACTTATAAAGCAAACGAATACATATAAATGTGTCTTTTCTATTGATTATAGGTTTTATGTAGGCATTAATCAATATATCCTTGTAAATGTACAATCATCTTTTACTAAAATGCAACAATTAATAATTACATTAGATGTATGTTTCATTATAATACGTTATTCTGATTGGCAACACTGCAATCTCGCGTTATTCCTTAATCAACTTTATTACACAATACAATTTATCATTCATGATGACACGAGGTCCCACAATAAAGTGCACAGGTAAATTAAATAAAAACTTGTTAAAAATCGTGTTTTCATGATCCTAGCTAAAAATGTAATTATAAGTATTGAATGCTTCTTTTTGTAACTTCATAGGGTTGTAAAAGCGTTGACCGTGTCCACATTTTTAGTATGAATCGCTTCATACAAAATGTACTTCGGTCAACGCTTTTACACCCCAATTAAGTTACTAAAAGAAGCATTCAATTCTTAATTAAACCCCTATTGAAAGGTGCTGTAATAATTTAAAAAGAGGATTCTTAATTGACAATTTTACACGCTAAAACAACTTCTAGAGTAGATTATGGGTTCATTAGCATATGAAAAACATTGCTAATGTAAATCTGCCTGCCATGTCTTGGTAAAATACTGACATTGTAGTCGTTATTCTGTGTTGCAAATAACGTCGCGTAATTTGATTGAAATGTCATGACATTAAACTACAGGTTGACTGGGTCCATAGGTGGTCACTTACGAGTTATGACTACCTGCTCTGAAGTTTCAGAGACTTAAAAGTAATTTTATGGCTCGAAATTGTTCTCAAGAGAACGTATCCTAATTTCCGTCTGTAAATTTCTAATGAATTAATTTTTGTTTTCATTCCTTAGTCGTGCCAAAGAAAGAAAATGAACAACTTATTATTGATTAAAACTTGACAATGGATTCAAGGAAATGTTCAACAAAGAAAAAAGTCTCCAAAAAGGAATATAAGTCACGATTTGCCGGGGGAAAAAACGAAATATGTGTTGCGTTTTTAAGGTCCGTCAGGATATATTGGAAATTTTGTTTCATGTCTTATTTTCAATGTTTTCATTGGTCTGAATGTATAATATTTTGGAATGTCAGAGATTTTCTCCCTACAAGCCGGTTTGAATTAATAAGTAGTTTATAAAAAGATTCATATTGGACATTTTTGAAGCCCAGCGACAATATTTTATAGCATGTAAATACATTGTTTCGTGATGTTATCGACAAAATAGCATTTTACATAAAAATAAATCAATTTGAAAGATATGAAGTTACAGGGAGATTATCTGAACTGATATGCTATAACTTCAATCCTAATATGAATATGAACAAATGAGACTCGAGGCTTACGTCAATGTGACAGTGAAAAAGCTCTTTCGCTGTAAAGTTTTAATGCATCCTTAGGTATCAAATATTCATCTTTGAGCTTTCATGATGAAGGTAAATACAGAAAATCGCTTAGGTAGCATGAAAATTATAAAGTGTTGTTTTCATTTTTTTAATGTTGAAGCTATAATCTGAGAACCGCTCTGAACAACTTTTCGAACACGGTTTCCTAAATTACAATAGATGTGGTTTGATTGCCAGTGAGACAACTCTCCATGCCAGTCACAACTTGAAAAAGGGAGACAATTATCGGTCAAAGTACGGCCTTCAACAAGGAGCCTACGCTCACACCGAACAGCAAGCTAGGAAAAAAAACTCAAAATGACTAGTGTAAACCCATTCAAACAGGAAAATCAACGGTCTAATCTTTATAAAAATAACAAACGAGAAACATTTATTAACAACAAACTAAACAAATGACAACCACTGAACATCAGGATTGGGACTTAGGACAGGTGCAAACAAATGCAGCGGGTTTAAACGTTAAATAGGCGGAATTCTGGGTCTTCATGCTATTCAAATTCGTACTATATTTCACCTGTTAACTCTTTTTTCAAGCGTCACTGTAGAAAGCTTTGTAGACGAAACGTGTGTCCGGCGTATACAATCTTAAGCTTTGCATTCATGATGTATAATCGATTTAATATGTACAAAATGGGTATGAGTTGTATAAAATTACTAACATATACGTTAAATTTTACCTATTTAAATCAGTCTTACTAGATCTGCTATGTTCTATATGCAACATTATAATTTTATCTGCATAATAACTGTTAAAGGTCTATCTTTTGAATTTGACACAATAGAAATAGAACACCGGACTGAATGCACTTTACAACTGTGTGCATTTTATTCGTGAGAAGGCTGTATAAGTGTAGTCACATAGGTATACATAAAAGGATATAGAATTTATATAAAATGGCTGTTATTTTCATAATCATCGTATATTTGGCTGTAAATACTGCTTTAACGAAAGGTATTTATAAACATATCTGTCACAATGGATAGAAAAGTGAGGCGAGGGTGGTAACTGTTCCTTGTATCTCGATCGAAGGAAGCTAGACTGTGATATATTCTCTTACAACCTTTTAGTACAAAATATATGATTATTTTATTACTTTACCTACAAACGTGGAGTATAACGCGTAAATGTTTTAACTTGGAAATAACATATTGAACATGTTGCAAATTTTTTATTTACTTTCATGAACTAGTAAGAGCAACTGTTGATACTAATAAACTGTAGTCCTCGGTATTTTTTTTTATTTTACTTTGTGCCACAATCCAAATGTATTCTCTACATATAAAAAGGCCTTGGCATGTATGTATGGAACGCCACAGATATCTTATGTGGAATTCTGATATTACATTATGTTGTTTTATTATTACTTGATGATATTTGGTCTTTACATAATATGGTTTTGACATTACGTAATAATGTTAATATAACTCAATATGGAATAGTCATTACTTAATGCTATTTCGATATTACACGATATGATTTCGTATTGACTTGATAAGTTTTGTCATTACTAAATATTGTTTTGTCATTACTCGATGTGGTTTCTCCAATATTTAATGTGGTTGTGTCATAAATATTTAGGAACGAACCGTAGCTAGCTATCACAGATTTTTTTTATCCTAAGCATCGCCTTAGTGTAGTCTGTATTTAAGGAATACAATAGCGATTAACTAGATTACAAAAATAATTCTAAACAACAATATCAACATCGATTGCTGTACACAAGACATCGATCCTTTTGCAAAATATATGCATGTAGAAACCAGGGCAGAAATAGAATCACTTTTTCAAATCTTTGTTTCAGGAGATTCTGACAGAAGCCATCATTATGATGACATCAGCAATCGTGTTAAAGATGATTCTATTGTCAATATCGATATGTATGCTACAATAGAACAGATGAATTGCTCAAAACATTGCATTAGATGTGATATTCACGGAGAATGCATAGGATGTGAAGTTGGTTTCTACGGTTCCACTTGCGAATCGAGATGCTTATTGGACTGTGGTGTCAGAGGCTGCCAACAGAATACTGGAAAATGTAACGGTATGCATCATTTAGCTCTTTATCAATGTTATTTATATGCAGATGTGAGTGTATATATGCCTTGACTTTTTTCATCACTTTAGATACAAGTGTTGAGTATAACGTCTTTAACTTAATTAAAACATATGGAACATTTTTAGAAAATTTTATTCTACCTTCTTGAATACTCAAAAGAAACTGTTGAGACTGAGTAAGAAGCAGTTTAGCCAGATTTTGTATGACTTAGTTTCTGTCATCTGTTTTTAAAGACAAACAAAATATTATAAATACTCATGGTAGCATAAAAATACGTTTATGTTCAGAATCTAAATAAGAATTATGTCATTAATATTAATGTACATGTTTTACACTTACCAAAATCATCTGTTGAAAATATGTCAGCAACTCACTCAAAATGGTATTTTTATGTTTTAACTAGGTTTCTGTCTACAGTTACCTAAAAATACCCCTTGATGTCCAGTGAAATAAGATTGCATCACAATGTTTTATTTTCGCGTTTTGAAAATAATTGTCAAAGAAATCGAGATATTGTTTCCGTCTTTATAACCTCTTAGTTTCCCACAGTCCAAAGACAAATTTCGTACATTTCGTACGGTTTTTTTTTCGTTTTATAATTTCATCTGCTAAAAAGTGTGTAACCGGTATCATTTTACGGAAATTAGAATATTTACGTCAATTACAATACAATGAGTTAATATCGTCGTACTGCTGGACGTTTTGATCAACAAAAATCTCTGTTAAAAATGGTTTATTAATATTTCAACAGCCTGTATGCTACTGGCTGCTAAATGATCCCCAATACAGGCCTAATTGTTTGAATACTTATATGGAGCACATTTTATACAGAATTATGGCATGGTAAAAAGGTGCTTTTTTACATAATGATGATGTTGTGTCGCTCAAATTGGTTCTGTTTGCTTTTACTATCAAGAATTGGTTGACCGATATTATGTTTCTGTTTCTGAACTCACTTGACTGTTTAAATATCAGAAATACCACAGGTCTCTTATTGATGCCTTGTTTAATAGAGTTCAATATCCGATCGCTAAGTCTTTGAAATGATTTCGCAATTATATACTGCATGAATATCAGAATACACATACATTGACGACTAGTCCAGTGTCTCCATTTGCATATTCTATTGATTCCTTCGGTTTTTGTTCAGCACCGCGATAAGTATCGTTCTAATTGAGTCAAGCAATTTGATCATTGGTAAACTATTGTTATATCTGCTCTGATATAATAGTGAGGACGTTTTCTGTATTCAATAATAATCTTTTTCCATTTTCTTTTACAGGCACACCAGCTGGATGTAAGTACTATAACTTATTTAATGCTTCGGTGATTTCTAAGTAACAGGCTTCTCAATAGTGGCTGTATGATGGTCTTTTTTTAAAAAAAATTTACAAGTTCAACAAGAATTAGGAAATCAGCTTTTCCTTATACAGTGACCTTAACTACTTGACTTCTCTATACACCCTGCAAATTAATTGTAATCAGTATTATATCATTACATAAACTTTGAACTTAATTCTAAAATAACAGAATATAATTAAAATGACCTAGAAATAAAAAAAAAACAAAAACAATAAAGCTTCAGTGCATTCAAAGATCATGTATATTCAGTTGATAATTATTCCCATGAAAATCAAAGGTGTATGCCTCCTCAATTCATTTTTGTTTTTCAGCATGGGGTAACATACCAATTTATATAGGCGCTGGTGTAGGTGGAGGAATATTAGTGCTGCTACTTACTGCATGCGTCTGCAGATGTACAATTAAAAGATCTAGGTACTCAAGAATTTGATTAAAGTAAGCATAAACCTGTCAAATGTTACACTTAGCTTGTTGATTAGTTGAAGGTATGAAGCTGTCAAAATGTAAACCTAATTTTTATTAGCTTGTATATAAAATTAAGTCTTTATCGACTTTAATTATTAATATTTTTGTTTTCTACTATTGGCATCACTAATTGAGACTTATTATTATCAAATATGTGTACCGTGTTATGATACTTATGCATCTTTTAGTTTCATTTCTGTTAAACTTCAGTGTTCCTGAAGAGCTGATAGTAATACAGGAATACCTTAGGACGCACAAAATTTATAAACTTTTAATTTCATTGACTAGTCATGGTGGATACCGATGCTGGCAAACTGTAGTCCCTTATACTAATAAATGTGTCGTTTCGTCCTTAACCAATAAATAGAGTATAAAAAGTTATCGTTGATAAGCTAATACATTATCAAACATAATAATTGGTGGTGTTTAATGCTGTTTTCAGCACACTTCGATATTTGACATTGACCTGATTTTATTAGTGGAGGAGGTCTGAGTTTTCGAAGTGAATCGTCGACTGCTGCATAAAGACTTCAAAAATAAACCCAAATTTTAGTGTCCGTTGTTAATCTGTAGTTAACATCTTGTAATGTACTATTCCGTAATTAAGTGATGTATTTCTCTGCTCTAGGTGTTCTTTCGTTTATTTGTACTATATTCCTGTCACATAATGTTGTCATTTTAGCGGTGTTTTAACATTGTCGTATCTGCGGGAGGTTTGGCTAGCCATAAAACTAGGTTCAATTCACATTTATTTCTTAAAATGTCCTGTACCAAGTCATTAATATGATATAGGTAATCAAATATATCGTTTCTATGTATGTTGGGGTATGTTTTTGTTGCACTTCAGTGGTCCCTTTGTTCTGTTGTTTTCCTCTAATAGTAAAAGTATTTCTCTCGGTTTTAGTTTTTAGTTCTGGTTTATTTTCTTTCAATCGATTTATGAATTTTAAACAGCGGTATACTACTGTTGCCTTCATTTATTACAGTTTTCTTCTTCGTGTCAGTTGAAGTTATAAACACAAAAGCACGTTCCCCTTCAACATAACAGTACACAAATCATTCAATGCTGAAAGGAATTTTTTTTACAGGTGTATATGGTGTTATACACCGATGGTCAAATATAAAAAAGAATATGTGGTATAATTGTTAATAATAAAACTCTTCACAAGAGAAACCAAATGACTCAGGAATTAACAACTATAGCATAACATTCAGAATGGAAATGGTGAATGTGTCAAATAGACAAAAATATATAACATGTAAAACATGAATAGGTCATCGTACGGCCTTCAACAATGCAATGAGCAAAGTCCATACCGCATATTCAGCAATAAAAAAGCGCCGATATGAAAAATGTGAAACAATTCAAACGTGAAAACTTACAACCTATTTTATCTACAAAATATTGAACGAAAAAATATATGTAAGACAGCAACAAAGAAAAACAACTGTATTACAGCCTACTTTCCAATATCATCTTTAAATATATATATATATATATATATTATTTTATCTTTTATCTTTTGAAACAGACACATTTCGAAAAACGATCAAAAGACTAAAAAACAAACAAATGTATACTAAGTTCAACACTGACAACCAAAGACTGAGTACCACGTACACCAACAAAAGTCCTATATATTGAACGAAAAAATATATGTAAGACAGCAACAAAGGACAACAACTGTATTACAGCCTACTTTCCAATATCATCTTTAAATATATATATATATATATATATATTATTTTATCTTTTGAAACAGACACATTTCGAAAAACGATCAAAAGACTAAAAAACAAACAAATGTATACCAAGTTCAACACTGACAACCAAAGACTGAGTACCACGTACACCAACTAAAGTCCTATATATTCATTTGTCTAAAGTACTAGTAACCAGCATCAAGTTGCAGTAATAGATTAATGTTTACCTATGAAATTAAATTAAAACAACATTTTACTTGTTGGAAAATGTTTTTTTTAGCAACACATCTGTATATAATACCAAAAATAATATTGGGTTCCCCGGATTGTTAAGGATACACGGGGTCATTGACGACATCTATTTCATTTAATTTAAAGAAGAAAATGCGCCAAATTCTGACATTGGCAATTTCAGTATATCACTTTTGGAACCATGCACTAGTACTGATCCTTTGCTACAAGTTCACTTTCATAAGCTTATTTATATGGACTGATATTATTTCTTAACGAGACCTAAACTAATCAAATAAAAGTATGAACTTAAGGAGCATCACAAACTGAATATTCCAACAAAGAACTGTGTCAATTACGGCAAAGGACCATCAACACATGGGGATACAAAAGTTAATGTTTCAAATAATTAAAAATTTACCAATCATTAATCGTTCATTTCAAGAAAGGATTGCGGTCTACTTGCGTGCACGTAACGTTTACCGGCATTGTCTTTTCTAGAGATCAGTATGTTCTTATAGTTTCTTTTACCCATATCTTACCAATTGCTACAATTAAAGCGTGTTGCAGGATTTTGATACATTTGTATTGACAACCTCAAGGTTTAATATTCTGATTTTTTTTCTCTGGAATCTTACTAAGAAGTCTTTAAAGAACTATAACGTCTTCTTTTTTCAATGTAATATGTTTTAATGCACATGTGTATGTATTTTTGTATAATTGGATTTACTATAAGATCAGAACACAAATTCGACAGATCTCCTAATTGATTGGGTACTAGTGCATCAATTAAGATAGGACTCCAGTTCACACTGCAACAGCTTGGTTGAATAAAAACCTCGATGTTAAAGATATGCGACAAAAGGATGAACTACTCGACATTTAGCCATCGTGACCAACATTTGTGTTAATGAACGTTATTAATATTCGAGTTCAAATATTTTCCCTAGGTAAAATTTTGAGGTGTTTTTTTTTTAATTTTTGAACATAAAAAATTATATTTATATTTTAGCTTTCGTCTGGCATTATACAAGTACTCTTTTTTCGTGCGTACTATATTTAGATTAGAAGCGAGTGTGGGGGCATACAATACATTTATTGGGTTTTCTTTAACACACAGTTCATATCATTTATAAATTATCTTTTTAAATTGTAGCAACAGTTTTGCCAGAAGAGTAAACACATGACATTATCAGTATTTTGATTGTTAGACACTACTGTATTGTTAATACCAATACAGATAATGAGTATTTACGAAGTGGAATAAACTTTTGTATAGTGATGTAATAATTATAATGCTTAAATAAAATATGAAAATAAAAGAACCTTATTTTGTTTGTCACCCTAATAGTATTTGCTATAGGGTATCTAATAATGACCTAAAGGTAAGGTTCATTGTTGACATTAGCCATGCTCGTCGATTTTCATTTATAAACGCTACTATAATATCATTTTGATAACAATTATTGATATTACTGGATAAGTTGTTTTTTTCTTCTCTTCATTACACATTAACAAATGAAATCATATAACATCATGAAAGAATGACGAAAGATACCAGAGGGGCAGTCAAACTCATAGATCGAAAATAAACCAACAACGCCATGGCTAAAAAATAAAAAGACAAGTTCACAAATAATAGTACAAAAGACGCAACATAGAGAATTAAAAACTAAGCAACACGAACCCCAACAAAAACTGGGGGTTATATTAGGTGCTCCGGAAGTGTAAGCAGAACCTGCTCCAAATGTGGCACCCGTCGTGTTGCTCATGTTTTTACAAACCGTGTAAATAGTCTAATTCGGTAGGTCACATTCGTGGTGAAAAGGAAAGTGGATTGTAATTACGACATAAGGAACATATCCGATATCATCTGTGAAACGGTTATTCCATAACGGTCAACCAACTCGTGATGGCGTCTGTATAATTTACGAAGGGATGATTTCAACTTCACCATTTGGAACTCTTGGTTTAATAGCTTCCTTGTGAGCAGCAACCCTCAATCAAGGAAATCATGATAGGAAATACAATCCCGGGGAAATCGTATCAATAGGGAGATACATACTCCGTATGCAGGATCTGCTGGAATGTTGCTACATAGAAATGGAAAGTTCACAATTGGGAAGCTGAAATTATCTCTTTTGTCGTAAAGTTTTGTTTTCGACCCACCCTCATTGTCAATTTCTAGATGTAAGTCAAGATATGAGGCAGACTTAATTGTATCTGTTATATCCCTTATCTCTAGTTCGATGGGATAGATGTGTTCAACAAAAGTATGCCATTGCTGTAACATTGATGAAACTATTGCTGTATTAATCGATTTCCTATTTAATATCTAACAAGTATTCAAAAATAAATATAATGAAACATGAAATAAATGAAAATAAAACAACAACTTACGATTAAAATACAGTTGTAGGGCAACATAAGTCGTTAACAAGAAACACGTATATGTGATTCTTTATTGTTACTGTCAAGTGAGAGGTGAAGCTAGGTATACCACCAGGTTTAGTCCACCATTATCTACATAGGAAAATGCCTGTACCAAGTCAGGAATATGATAGTCTTTATCCTTTCGTTTGATGTATTTGAGCTTTTGATTTTGCCATTTGAATTAGGACTTTCTGTTTTAAATTTTACTCGGAGTTCAGTTTTTTTGTCATCTTACCCTTTACATAAGTTATTTGAAGACATTTCTCTGAAATTTTATCAACATGCAAACAAAGATATGATAACACTATTTCACTAGAAATTCGAAAGGTTACCTTTTAAGTACGAGCGCCCCCCAAAAAAGTAAAATTGAATGACATACTTGGTTCAATTTGGGGATATTTACTGTTTTCTGATTATTATGTCCATTACGAAAAGTTAAAACTATTTATAAATATCGAGCCATCGATAAATGAATTTAATATACGTCTGATTTCAAACATAGTGGACAAGAGTGACAATATATGAATAGTACAGTTATCGTGTTATTGATAATGCTTGCAAAACGAATAAGGGTCAGAAAGAGTAAGCTATATGACGGGTTTTGCTTTTTACAATGATACAAGTACAGTTATCTCAAGAAACAAATTGCTTTCATTGAAATATTTGACTGAATCTAAATTTTTTGTATACATAGTATTGAAAAAAAAGCTTTATCATTAACATGATTAATGGAATACAATTCGTAAAAATATACATAAAGATATATGTATGTCAATATGAAATTAGAGATGTGACAAGGATAACTCATATAACACAATCCATAGTTTTGATGAATTCCACTTTCCAATTGAGAGCTTTCCGTTTATTTGAAGCAGCATTTCAGAAGCCCCTCATATAGAGAATATCTGCCAGTTTATATGATATTACACGACATAAGCGTTTCCTATTATGAATTATATGACAGATGTTAACATTTTTTCAAGGAAGTGACATCATAAATTGGTTAATGCGAGTACTCTCAGATCTGCACTTAGTGTCTTTTTATTGTTGGGATATACAAGTACCCGGCCACGTCCACTCTTGTGTAGTATTTCTATTTGTATCCATCTAATGAGTTAAGCCTTTTTTAACTGATTTTTATAATTCGTTCTAATAATGTAATGTTACACCACTGTCCCAGTTAAGGGGGAGGGTTAGGATCCCACTAACATGTGTAACCACATTGGAATAAACGTCATTGATATCATTGTTTCTACAAATTTTAGCTGACATGCTGACCACAATAGATAGTCGTAATCAAAATTCATATGTTATTGATTACAAATGTATATTTGTTTATATATTACTTTTTTTTAATATTCAGGATTATTGGAATTATGCATAATATTATTTGCTGAAAACTAATGAAAAACAAGAAAAAAGATGTGAAAAAACAATGACCAGACACAATATTCTGATATCCATTTTTTTCTGTTTAAATCAAACAAATATATGTTGTAATTCAACAAAATATATAAACAGTTATTAAGTTACATTAATACCTAAGACCAAATGGTCTGCAATGAACAAGTGATCGTCGTCTATATTGAGATCTTCACACGAAAGGAAAAGGAAGTAATACTAGGATTATAATGCGTGACATTAAAAATAGAACATGATGTAAGTGAAGTTTCTTGGGTTTCTTTTGATGATATCTACATTAAGGATGTTCGCTAATCATGTTTTGGAATTTTTGTCAGATTTTCGGAATCCTCTGGTTTTATCCATTTGAATGCCTAAAAAAAATTTACCCATTGACACCCATTTTTCTTTTTATAAATCCTTAACTTGTATAATGATAAGCCATCTGTAAAAGTCTTATAAAATTTTAATTATTTTTAAATAGTTTTTGAGAACTTAAACTTGTCAATGATAAAGCTATGAAAAGTCAAGAGAGAACATTTTCCCGCCAAAATTTCAATGACTAATATCTTGAAAACAAGCACATTGACCTATATATATGTTTTGCTCTTTTGATTCCTCTATTAATCCCCTATCAATATAAACTAGTGTTTTAAAAAGCTTATTATTTTGAAACTGAGAAGCGAACTCCCTTAAAACGATTTTTCATTCTGGCGGCTAACCTAAGGATATTTTCCCATATGAAGTCATTTGTACGGAAATATAAAAGTAATCTATATAAAACTTCATGGTTTATTATTTTTATCAAGGAGAGTGAACGACCAAATCAACACTAATGCGTGCCTCGGGGGTGAGAAGAAAGTCGAATTTTCAAGTTTTGTTTGTTATCGTTTACAATTTGTAAACCTTACTCAACTGAATGTTAATCAATTGATGAACCATGAGGATTTATTTTTTTAATAAACTTTTATACTTTTCTTTCTTTAAATCAGTTATTGACACTCTGTAAACTCTTAAACGATAAAAAAAAACTAAGAAACATATCTACAGAATCTTTAGATGTGGCACGATCTGTACCATTGTTTTAGAAAAAAGTAGCTTTCTGTACCCTCTGTTACAGAAATATACAAGCATTTCTTTTTTATAAATTCATGTTGAAATGCCAGTTTTGTATTGGAAATTCCTAAAATTAATGGTACAACAACTTTAACTGTAACACTGGTTTTCCTTTCGAAACCTTTCGAGAAATTGGCAAACAGAAAGGTAGTTTTTCAGAATGTTCAGCACTATTCTTGTTGGTTTTGTGGTTATTAAAACGATTTAGAACAAACACTTTTTTCGATGTCATAATCACGTTGTAAACCGTAATAAGTTTCTGTTTTTCTTTCATTATTTCAGACTCAGAGAACAAGTTTTACAAAACATAAATAATCCTCATTATAAAAACTCACATGGATTTCCAAAAGTTTAATTTTATTAGTCGGAAGTAGCTTTTTAATCAATTGTTACACTTATAGCTTGCATAGTTATATGAAATATGAATCTCATATGCCAAAATAAGTGTCTACAAACAAAACGTGTAGCAACATTGTATGTTTTATATGTTTTTATAGATTAAATTATAGCAATAAATGTATTTTAAGATCGACAGTGAAAAGATACAGGAAGACCGGCAAGTGTTATGTCAATACTTATGTAATAGTGCACTTAAATGGTTTCGGGATCCTTTTTAACATCCGATACATTTTTAGTTCATTGACTAAAAAGTAGACATTTATATTTCAACTTTATGTATAAAATTCCAATATAAGTATACATTATTACGCAGTTACTTCAAAACAGACAGAACAACTGGGTAGTTCATGCAGCAATACAGATTTATTAGAATTAAGTTGATTCTTTATCTCTGAAGAATTTTTTAGAAAAGGATAGTAAGTATATTGTGAAGCTATACATTATTTGGATTTTAAGTGAAGTAATAATTTGATATGTTAATGATTTTTCAAATTTTAAGTTTTGTAGAATTTAAGTTTCTAAAGGCGTTGTTGTTTTAGTTGCAGGGAATGAAGATTGCTACTGTTATAATTGTGCTTGCCATTCATCATGGGATTTGTGTTTACAGCAGTAAAGGTATTTTGTTTGTAAATTAAGTTTTTCAAGAACATTAAGTTTGTAATGTAAATTGTCCAAGTACATTCAGTTTAATTTCTACGTGATTAAGACTCAGCCATAAATTCAGTAACTAGTATCAATTACGTCCTTTTCCATTGAACAAAATTGTTTTAAAACAAATCAAACTTCAACAATAGAATTCTATCGATCAATATTTCAGCACAATTATTGTGCACTTATTATGCAGCACTATCACCACGTTGGAGTTTATAGAAGCATCTATACATGTATATGTATATAAACCTTTAAAATGAGAAAAAGATGTACGTAACAATATTTGTCTAAATTTAACTTAAATTCAGGCTATATTTAT